TAGATGGTGGAAAATTCTTAGTGAACAACATGTTTAACCTGCTGAGTAAAGGGGATGAGTAAGCTCTTTTAAGAAAGCAGCTGCATGTGGGTTGATATGTTCAAAATATGTCATATGCATACATGAAATTTTCTTATGGAAACCCCTTATTTTATAAGGTTAATGATTGTAGCAATAATTTAAAAATTCTAATATCTTCTAGAGAAAATTGATTTCATTGTTCATTGATTGATTGGTTGGCTTTTCTGAGGGTAACATAGAAGAGAGGGAATGATGTCAACATAGGTCTACATAGGTGAAAAAGAGAAAAGTCTGAGGAATACTGTATGCATATTCTTCCATGTGAGGGACAATGGGTACGAGATGGGGCAGGGAATTTCAATTAATCCTTACTAATTCACAGTATGTGTTTGAGCTGTGTTTTTATAGGCCCATGTGTTTGTTCTTTTCATAAACCTGGTTTTCACAAATGTCTATTATTCTATAGTTTGCATAATGATGGGGACATTGAATGTTCCCATTTGGGGGACTTCAGTGGAAATAGTTGATGTTTAATTTAGAACAGTTGAAGAGAAAAATCACACTATGAGGTTCTCTAGAAACTGATCACACTCAGAGAGATGGCAAATAAAATCTGAATGAGTTAGATGAGGAGGAGTTAAGACTTTGGAAATAATGCTCAAGTCATGTGGGTACGGTGAGCCCAAGGAAATGTGAGAGAGATGGTATCTCACTATTTATATATTTAGATAGATACTTGGCTGCAATTTTTCTTGACACCATCTATTTATCCACTATCTTTTATCTATAACCTATCTATTCATCTACTATGCATATATCTGCCATCTCTCTGTAATCTATCCATCTATCTAATCTATCATCCATCTATAATCTATTACTTTTTATTTGTCTATCACTTGTCAGTCACTGATCATCTATCTAATGTGCATGTGTCTGCCATTTATTTACTTTTTCACTATCATCTAACTAGTTAGTTGCCTACTTATTTTCTATCTAATTTTTTCCCAGAGCCTTTAACATTTACAGGTGCTAACTCTCTATGTAAAAATGTGGGCACTAGATTATGTGATTTTCTTGGATTCTTTTCTAATATTAGATGCAAGAAATTACTTTCCTCTTTCCCTATATTATTTATGTTAATTAATTGTTTGAGTCTTGTTTGGGACTCCCTACAGTTTAAGGGGAAAGCCCAAAGTCCTATCGGATGCAGTCTTTTACTTGGACTGCATGTTAAGCAGTTTCCATGTTCCCTAAGGAATCTTTTAGCGGAATTACATGTTTTCTATACTTGGTACTAAAAGTTTTCCCAGGCAACACAAACTGAGCACTTTTCCCGCCATGTCTGTTCATCACTGTCCCTCTGAATTTTTCTTTTCATGTACCATGTTATTTATATAAGACTACAATAAGTTATTTGACAACCTTTCATGTGTTTTGTATTTATGTTCGTTAATAAAACATGGGATGATGCATACATTTGCTATTTTAAGACTTTTAAATCCTCTAACTAAATTATCAGTGATATTTCATCATATTAATAGCTACTCTTAATAACTCAAGTCACCCAATAAGAACCCACACTCTGAGACTGCCAGAAGCATTGTGGTGACATCACCTGGAGATCTGCCACTGTCACACCAACTGTGTGTGACATCTGTTCTCCTGGTTAGCTTGCTCCAAAAGTCTTAGTAGCAGGGAGAGGCCAGGAATTGATTCCTGGATCCAATGGCAGGTCTACTCAACTCAACTTCCAACTTCAAGGATGAGAAGACTAAGATGCCATGTGGTCTACACCTCAGCCTGTGTGCAAGACAACACCCATTTCTTCAGATGACCTGCATAGGTGATGTGTGAGCATCCTAGTTGCTTTGGCAAGACTGGAAGTTCATTTTCGACTGTGAGCTCAGCTGGGTCTGGTGGATGTAGTCATCATACTTAGCCAGCCTTTGGTTTTCTGGGGCTCCCTATGTCATGGTTCTTTCTTTTGGAGACATATCTCTTCCTCATCAAATATAAGAGGAATCTGTTTAAGTATGTGTATCTCTTTTATGCCAGAATAGTACTTAATGTATCAATACCTTCATTTTTATAAGCCTTTTAAGCAATTGTTGTATAAGGGTTTGCATATTAAACCCAAAGGATAGGGAATTTGGGGAGGAGCAATACTAGATATCAGGAAGGCTCTACTCGCTAAAATTTAACCAACAAGAACTAGAGCGGCAAAAGAATGTGGTCTGGAATATAAAATCACTGTTCCATGCCAAACCGGCACAACAATTCCTTTGACTAAGCCATAGGAGATCTGAGAGTTATATAAGTTTATAAAAATGAAACTTAAGGTTGATTCTTCAACAGACAGACTGTTATAGAGAGAATCACAACTGATTAAAACGCAGATAATAGGTGACCATGTGATGCCTAGATTTTGCACCCAAGGCTTAGGGGTCATAGTAGAATGTGCAATTGTTAATAATCATCCTGAACATTAGCCTTCGGGACTTTTTTTCACAGAACCGTTGATGTGAGAGTCCCCTCTGTATGCTTTGATTACCATTAATGAATAAAGAAACTGCCTTGGCCTGTTGATAGGACAGAACTTAGGTAGGTGGGCAAGATGGAACTAAATGCCGGGAGAAAGAAGGGCAGAGGCAGAGGGACACCATGAAGCCAGAGACAGATGCTGGGAATTTTACCCAGTAAGCCACTGCCACATGGCAATACACTGATTAATAGAAATGGGTTAGATTAAGATGTAAGAGTTAGACAATAAGATGCTAGGGCTAATGGGCCAAACAGTGATTTAATTAACACAGTTTCTATGTGTTTTTTTTTTCAGGTGTAAACTAGTTGGGTGGCCAGGACAAATGGGCCCTTCTCCTACAAATAATCACCAAGAACATGATAAATTAGTATTTTTTACTCACTGAATCTTGTTTTCATAGTCAACATTTTAAATAATACTCAGGATATAAAGTGTATTTTAATATTTTTTCTCTAGTGGCTGTCAAAACAATGAGATTATGAAAAATATGATTAGTATTATCCATTCCCAAGTGAAAATTTTCATGTAAGAAATAGAAACAAACGAATGTCAAAGAGAAATGCCTGTTTCATGCTGATTCTGTTCATTAATTTCAAAAGTGCCTCATAACCCATTCTTTACTTTCTGAAATGAAAATATGATTCTATCACTTCTTTCTTTTTCTCTCTCAAACCCTTCCCTTACACCTCCATCTTGATCCCTCTCAAGTCCATGGCATCTGTTTTAATCACTGTAATGTAGTTATATATATACATATATATTTCTAAGTCTATAAATACAACACAATTTGCATTATTTTACACTATTCTTTGTTTATTTCATCTAAATCAGTGATTCTTAACCTTCCTAGGATTGCAGCTCTTTAATACAGTTGTGGTGACCCCAACCATAAAATTATTTTTGTTGCTACTTCATAAATGTAATTTTTCTACTGTTATGAACCATAATGTAAAATTTGTAGAGCTAGAGGTTTGCCCATGGAGTTGTGACACACATATCAGTAATCACTGATCTAGACTGTCTACTTTGTGTTTGAATCCTGAGATTCTGCCTACTGTTTGATTCATTTTGTTTGCCATACTTTCCTTTGAGTTTCCCAGTGGGGCTAAAGGGTTTCTCCATTCCGCCTTCATTTCAGCCTGAGTTCTCGTCAATGTTTCAATTTCGGTTTTGAATTAGTTTTCAAATCTCAGATTGTCTTTGTAGTTTGCATCAGTGTTGTTTCTGTTTCTTTGGGCATCACGCTGGCATTTATTTTCTTGAACTTCATTGACCTTTATCTTTGTGACTTCTTTAAACTCCGTGAATTCTTTACTGAGGTTTACGGTTGTTCTTTTAAACTACATGTCCTGTGAGTTATCTAGGTAATTCTCACCAGGAGGAGAGGTTGGAATCAAAGCTTATTGACTAAATAAGTAGCCAAGTGTCTCCCATTTAATGGACACATGGCATGTTAGTAGTTTTCACACAGTGGAATGTTCTACACATTGCTGAGTTCTCACACCAGACCAGCTGTTAGAAATGCTGCACAGTGATTGTTAAAACAACAGAATAAAAAATAAAAAGCCAGGAAAAACAGATGTGTACCCGCAAAAGTACAATGACACCAAAGGACAACATGCGGATAAAGTGATCATCACAGTACGCAATAAGCATGGCTGAAGAGTCACTGTGTACACCCTGTGAGCTAACCTGCTACTCTCCCGGCTGAAGCCGTCCTCGGAACAACTGAGCTGCGAACATTCCTGGCTACACCCGGGCTGGCTCCAGAGCTAGCTCCTAGCCCTCATCCATCTTTTGATTCTTGGTTACCCATTATTTCTCTTTGTTGCCCTATATGTGAATCTTGCCTGATAGTTTCCCAAGGATACAAAGCCTTTGAAAAAGTTGGTTGTGGGAAAACCCCAGAAAATCACAGTACCTCCTTAACTGAGAATTTGCACTTGGTGTTGTCCCTTAGGAACATCTGGGATGTTTTGAAATATGGAAATTAATTGCTAATATGTAAATTGGAGAACAATAAAAGAAGCCTTGGGCAAAGGGGAATTGGTTTATTCCTTATAGAATAAGCATCCGCCCTGCAGCTGAGGAAAGCTAAACTCATTCTAAGGTACCACTGAATCATTTTTCCACGGACCCACATGAACCCACACCCATGCTGCAACACCGAACCTTGATTGGCAAAGCTAATCTGAAAGATGCTTGTGGTCAAATGATCAGGAAACAAGAGAAGATTGTTAGAGAAACCTTTATTATTTTGTAACAGAGAAGACAGGCCCTTTAACAGAGGAGGACATTCAGAACTTCTGACAAGATTGCAGCTTCTCAGAGCTCAGGACACGGAGGGGAGCAAGAGGCAAGAAGAACAAAATGTCAGGGCAGATCTCTGAACACGGCTTCTTTCTGCACGGCTTGACTAAAGTATTAAAGACTCAGGTCAGCAGCAGCCTCCAGACTGCTGGCTACTGCCACCACTGCTGCCACAGCAGCCACTGCTGCCACCGCTGCTGCCACAGCAGCCACTGCTGCCACCGCTGCTGCCACAGCAGCCACTGCTGCCACCACTGCTGCCACAGCAGCCACTGCTGCCACCGCTGCTGCCACAGCAGCCACTGCTGCCACCACTGCTACCGCATCCAGAGCTGTGACGATGACGACGGAGAGATCTGCGGGGCCTGTGGTGGCTCAGGCAGCAGCCACCACCGCCAGAGCTGCAGCAGCCCCCGGAGCTTGAACCACAGCAGCCCCCGGAACTGGAACCACAGCAGCCCCCAGAGCTGGAACCACAGCAGGAAGAGACAGGAGGACACTTAGGAGGACACTTTGGGGGGGCATTTTGGAGGGCACTTTGGTGTCTGACACTTGGGAGGGCACTTGGGGGCACACTTGGGAGGGGGCTGGCACTGCTGCTGGCTCTGCTGGCAGGACATCTCAGCTGGTGGATGCTCAGGAGCTGTGGGAGAATCACACATGTCAGACCCAGGATCCTGGGACAGCTTATTCACCTCTAAACATCACTGTTATTCATGAAAACACCAGGTTTAGCAGTTTTATTTCTAACAAACCCCAAGGCCCTTGCAGTACTGGCCTGCAGAGGCAAATTATCTTGCAACTTTTGATAGGAGAAAAGACATGCTCATTCTTTATAAAAGCTCATTTTAGGACTGGAGAGATGGCTCAGAGGTTAAGAGCACTGACTTCCCTTCCAGAGGTCCTGAATTCAATTCCCAGCAACCACATGGTGGCTCACAACCATCTAGGATGAGATCTGGTGCTCTCTTCTGGTGCGTAGGCACACATGCAGCCAGAAAACTATGCATAATAAATAAACACATCTTTTAAAAAAATCAACTCATTTTTTCCTATAAGTATTAAGTTGAGAGATTTCACAGTCTGAAGTCATATTCAGAATAATTTTCTCCTCTACTTAGCATTTCTTCCATGAACATCTTTTCCAATGCTATTGGGCTCTACGGCTACTGTGTTCATATGGAGATTCTTATGGGATTCCCATTGATTCTCTAAGCTTCCCGAACTGACGATGATAAGGATGCCAGAGAAGAAAACGGTGATTGAAAGTTAGGTCTTTCTTCTCTTTAATAAACAACCTAACTGATCTATTCCCTCAGATAGGAATCAGGTCTGGTTTTAAGTCTGAACTCATCTCAACGCCTCTTGCTGACTTGTAGACATAACAAATCTTGTGGTGTTGTTTCTTAAAAATTCTGAGCAACTCATGATCAAGTTCCAGATTCAAGGCTGTGGGTGTTTTCCAAGCCCAAAGATCCCTTGGTGACCTGCTCTCACGTGAGTCGTTCCTTGCAGGCTATCTCAGGGTTGTATTAGCAGAGAGGAGCTTTCCTCCCGAAGCCCATCAATGCCCACAGCTCTCTGTATTTCATGTTCCCATCCTGAAATACCACTGGAGGGCATATTATCCTCCACAGATTCAGAAGTCACAGGTACCCAGCTATGGCTATTGCCTTCCATGGCTTCCGAATCCCTTTGGCCACCTCCTTCCTCCCGTCTTTCATCCCTGCTCCCTTCTGTGCTCTGTCAGTGTGTTTCCTGGGCTCTGGAGTCGTGCTAAGCCTCCCACCCAGCCCTCCTCACAGCTTCCCTCTGGTATGGTCCATGCTCCTGCCCCCGATGAAGCCTTACCAAGATGACAGGCAGCACAAGATCCTTGGGAACCTCAGGAGGTGAATGAATGGAGGTGATCTGCTCCTTGGCCCTTTTATTCTGATCCTAAGCTCTGCCCCAGGAGTGAGACAGTGGCTGGGCATGGCAGCCCTGCCTCCTGACACCCACATGGTCGTGTGACTGGCAATGACCAAATGTTCCTCACCAGTCTTCCTCCATGGGGTTCGTGGATGCTGCATTCAGCTTGGACTATGACTTAAGCATGAAGCTAGGAAGTAGATTCCTGTCATTCTTAATCTCATACCCACAGGATCCCTGCCAGTGTCTCCATCTGCTTTCCAGGCCTGTACATCGTCACTCTGAGTAGATATGTCACACATTGTAGAGACCTAAACAGCCCAAATCCTTGTCATTGGACCCAGCTCAGCACAGTTATGCTGAAATGGGATTTTGAAATCTATTTATCACGTCTTATTTTCCCACTTTAATTATAATATTGGAACATCAATGAGAATTATTTGTAAAAGGGCTGTGAAAGTCATGGAGTATCACCAAGAACATGAAAGCAAGAAAAACTGACTGATGGGAAGATTTGTACATGGTAGCTCTCTGACAAATGTCCTGTATAGGGAGAAGACATAGATACTTAAAATAATGTTAAAGAGTGGTAGACATGGTTCACCTGCATCAATCCCTTATGAAAAGCTCACAGTGAAGCCCACTATTTTGTACAGTTAATATCTACAGAGAATACAAAGAAATAAAGTATAATTCTTTCCAAAGTCAGTGAATCTACCAGTTGGTTTTCTTTTTTAATCTGCTTTTAAACAGCCTCTCTGTTGTTGTTGTTTTTCCTTCCGATGAGAATTCACCTGGAGAAATGGTAAGAGTGAAGCAGGAAGGGACTGTTGGAGGAAGCATTGTCTTCATGCCCTGGTGGGACTTGGGATTTCTGGAGTCTGTGACTGAAGAAGATAATGACAAGAGATGAAAACTGAAGAAAGGAAAGAGGACTTGAGCTGTTAATATCTGATTCCTCATGTTGACGACATAGGTAACGGGACTTTACCTTAGGCAACAGGGTGATTTTTAAGATCACTCATCCTAAATGTGTCCCAGGAATGGGCTTGTGCTGTTGTTTTCAAAGCTCTTCTCCTTTCAGTATTTCCTTAGTCCCTCATAGCCACAAACTTTATACAAAGTGGTGTTTTGAATTTGCATATATTTGCTTCTTTAATGAAAAGTGTTGAAATTCATTGTAAGGCAAAGTTCTTGCAAGATGGACATGACTGTGAAGTTCAATTAAAAAAGTTAACTCAATGAGATATCTACAAATCAAAGTCAAGTTGAATCATGTGAGGGTCCATTTTTCTCCCTAGTCATGGATGGACCCTTCACTGAGAAGTCCCTTCTCAGATAGGCAAGATGAGCTAACGGAAATGTAAGGAAGACATGCGCTTAAATATAAACAGATGCAGTGATACATATTTAGAAAGATACATTTTATCACAATTCATGCTGTCTTTTGATCATCTATCACTGAAGCTACCCGTCTGTCTGTCTGTTTGTCCATCTGTCCATTCGTCCATCCATCCATCCATCCATCCATCCATCATCTATCTATCTAATCTATCCATCTGTCTATCATCTATCTCCCTCTCTATCTATCTATCTATCTATCTATCTATCTATCTATCTATCTATCTATCATCTATTACCTATCTCCCTTTTTCTCTGAGGCTCCACCATTTACATGCCCTGATACTCAGTCCCCTCTGAAAATTGTTGTTTCCAGTGCCAGGGATATCCAAGGACAGTTATCAATGAGGACCAACATGAATCCATGAGCAACTAAAACATTATTGTGGTTTTGGTGATTATTTTCTTAACTTGACTTCGTGGTTCTTGATCATGAACTTTGTAGATAACAACATTGTACTATAACATGAAAGCTTAAGCAGACTTGCAACCATGTGGTCACTCCTTGATTCATTATTAGCACCACACTCAAACAGTTGACACTCAGTTTTTCTGAAGTCTTTCCAAGGACTGTGCCCTGCTCTGCTGGCTGGGTTTTTGTCAGCTGACACAAGTTGAGTCACTTGAGAAGAGGGAACCATCATGGAGACTATGTATCTCCTAGGACTGGCCTTAGAAAACCCGTGGGCTTTCCTTAATTGATGATTAGTGTGGAAAGGCACAACTCACTTAGGCAGGACCACCCCTGGCCAAGTGGCCTTGGGGTATATAAAAAAGTAAACTGAGTAAGCCAGGGGAAGGGAGCCAGTAAGCAGCAATTCTCCATGGCTTCTGCTTCAGTTTCTGCCTTCTTGCCTTGGCTTCCACAATTGGACTGTGGTCTGAACACGTAAACAAATAGACCCCTTTCCTCCCCAAGTTGATTTTGGCCAGTGTTTTATCACAACAATAGAAAGCAGACTAAGGAAACTGCCTAGGGGAAAAATGTCAAGTCCAGTGTGAGTCATGGCTTCTGCCCAAACTCTGTTTACTTACTGTATCCTCAGGTGCCACACTGTGCCCTAAATCATGCATTGTTTGTGATAAACTTTCTAAATACAGATGTCCATGAGTCCATCAGCTGCAGACAGATTGTGGTATAATGGCACATTTGCTAAAGCCAGGGGGATGGACCCTTGCACTGGTATATGGAAAGGACCCGATCCCATCCTAATATGGGGTTGAGGGCACGTTTGTGTTTTCTCACAAGATGAAAATCAAGCCAGATGGCTTCCAGAATGACTGATTCTGTGCATTCAGCAGAAGGACAACCAACCCGAGGACAGCTTAGCTGACAACTGCCCAGCAGGAGAAATGGAATAAGAAGAGCTCCAGGAGGAACCGGTAATCCAGCTTTCCCAGTTCACAGAGAGAAGCCCGAGATGCCCTTCCGTGATGACTGTGTGAACTGTGTCTGATTATTTCTTGCGCCTCCATACCGGTCTAGTTAGGGAAGATAGTTTTCCATGTTCGGGCCTTCGGTCCCTGAGAACTTACTTAGTATTTTCTATCTGTCTTTCAGTTGTTCAGGGATGAGCCACATTATTTTCTGAAGTTCAAATGTGCTTTTCACTATAACACAGTGTTGTTGCCTTTGCTCATCTTGGAAGTACTGCTCACGCACTTTGTGTTTTGATATAGGTCATGTGCTACACATGCACATGAGATAATAATGAACGGTTTGGCAATCTGACCAAAGTTTTATACTTTCATTTTCATTATTTAAGATAGGCTGCTTGTTTCTGGAGAGATGGCTCACTGGTTAAGAGCACTTTCCATTCTTGCAAAGAACCTGAATTTGGTTCTCAGCATCCATATTGAATGGCTCCTAACATTCTATAACTTCAGGAAGTCAGCACTCTCTTCTGATATCCATGGTTCCAGGCAGGAGTATAGAACAGATAAATACATACTGGCACCCACACACATACACATAAAAAAGGCTGAAAACCAGAATGATATTCACATTGGTTATTTTAAATCTTTTAAACTATGCTACGAACATTATTAGTGATGTTTCAAATTATAAATAACAGCTTCTTCTGACTCGGGTCACTGCATAGCAATGTCCATCTTGAGACTGGAGTAAAATATGTGATGTCACATCACGTGACGATCTGCCACTGTCTCACCAGCTCTGACATTTGTTCTCCTGGTAAGGTTGCTCCAAAGGGCTTAGTAACAGGGAGAGGTTAGGAATTGCTTCCTGGTTTCCACAAAGGCAGGACTGCAAATCCAAATTCCAGCTCCTAGGACGACAAGGCTGAGATGCCAACTCATCCACACCTCTGCCTCTCTGCAGGGGCACACCCTGTCCTCAGCTGCCCTGTGTGAGCTGGGTGATGTGTGAGTGGCACTCCTCCTTTAGAAAGACTGGAATCTGAGGCTTGACTGTGGACGCTGTAGCTTAGGTATCAGGTCAATGTGAACATCTTGAGAGGAAACCACTGTTTGCTAGTCTTTTGTCTCTATTTCTCCAACCTATGGAGTATAAGGAATGCTGGTGTGCTTTCACCAGAAGCAATTCAATCTGAAAAATGGTTTTTCTGAATTTCAGAACCACCATCAAGAAATAAGATTTCTTTTGCTTCCCTCTTTTAACCTATAAACAATCAAAACAATAAAGCAGTTATTTTTGAGTACAAGAGAAAATTGAGTTACTATTCACATAGCAGTATTAAAAGTTATATTATTTGTTTGCTACGAAAGCCAACATCTTCATGTTTTGTTGGCATGTGTGATGAAAGCTTGCTAAAAGCTTATCACTTTTTCTTTGGTACAGTTATCATGTTCTAGACTAATGGGTAAAATGTCACATAAATCTTAACAACTTATGCATTTTTAATCCTGAAACTCAATAAAACACAATCTTTTCTGAGATGTTTCATTTAAAGTATTTTTTGTTATTAAAATTTACTTTTTCAGTTTCATAAATGTATACAAGGCATTGTGACACCGGGTATTTTTGTCATCTTGCGAAACTGAATTACACTCCTTCATCAATATGTCTCCACAGGCCCTCTCCCCGGCCTCTAGTAATCACCATTCCCTTTCTTGCTTACAGGAATTCAACAGAAGAATGGTACAGTGTTTTAATTTGTATTCTCCCTTTACATTTCATTCACACTGTAACATGCACATATATTATAGGGCCCACGGGTCTATTCCTCCTCTCAGGGTTCATCTTGAGGACAGTTTCTGGACAGACATCTTGTTGCATTTTCCGGCTAAACATCCTGTTTATTCCTGTGCTCCCTGTGCTCCCTCTGCCCCTGTGGTGATTAGTTCTAGGGCCTTTCTTTACTCCATCTTGGGCATGGTAATTCCCCGCCTGCCTGGGGGGATTCCATTGTGCAGCAGCTAGTTATGTAAGGTTTTTCCTAAGCTTGAATAAATGGCATTCAGCTGACCTCCTTTTGAACGACCCAGGACTCTTGTGTGTTCTTTTAATCTCCAGGCCCTTGCCCTGCTGGCAAACAGGTACAGTGGCACACCAACTGTACCAAGAGTAACACAGGTGTAATTACTTCTGTAAATTTCTTAAGAAAAGTTTTTGCTCATGTAGACAAGGCTGGTCAGGAAGCAGCTATGCAGTCAGGGTGGTTTTGAACTTGTCATCCTCCTGATTGTGATTGTAGGCGTGAGCTACCACACCTGCCATTCTGAAGGTTAGATCATATTCTTTGGCATATTTGAACCATATTTTAAATACAATCATTAATGAAAGTACATTTGAATGCCCTTCATCTTTTGGCTATTGTAGACAGTGCTTCTGTGAGCAAGGTGTAGAAAGAGCTCTGTAAGTCTCTGTTCTCAATGCATACATTCTACATATGTACCCAGAGATCCACCCACAAATACACATGTACAAAAACAGACAGACAATATAGAGAAGTTGTGAACTTCTTGGTTTATAGTTAATTCTGTTAAATTTTTGAGGAAGGGGGAATTCACAGTCATTGGCATTCTGAATAATCCACAGAGTTACCAGTTCCCTTGCAAAGTCCATAGGAGCTGTCAGGTTATGTTGCGTTCATTGTGACCACACTCAGCTCAGACACTATATCTCATTATGGGTTTTATTTGCCTAATAGTCATACTGAGCAGTTTTACCTGTGTCTACAGATCATTTCATATTTTTTTTGACCAACGTATATATGAGTCTCCTCTAAGTTTTAAATTGGGTTGTTTACTTTTATGTTGATGAGTTGAGAGAGTTTATTACACATTCTGATATGACTGACATATGCTTATGCCAAAGACTGTGTGGGTTATGTTCAGTCGTGGTGTGAGACAATTGTCTATATTCTGTCAATTATGTTTTAAATAAACACTGATTGGCCAGTAGCCAGGCAGGAAGTATAGGTGGGACAACCATACAGGAAGTAGAAATGGGTCAATAAGAACAGGAGAATTCTGGGAAAGAGGATGCCCATTCTTTCCTAGTCCTGTCCCAACCACAGAAGAAGGAAGCTTGTGATTGCCTCACTGACAAAGGTACTGAGCCATGTGGCTAACATAGATAAGAATAATGGGTTAATATAAGTTATAAGAGTTAATAAGAAGCCTGAGCTAATGGGCCAATCAGTTTATCGTTAATAAGACCTCTGTGTGATTTCTGTGGGGCTAAACGACTATGGGACCTGGTAGGAGGATAGAAACCAGGGAGGACAGGAAACCTCAGAAAACACAGCCGTGCATAGAAAATTTTAGCATTAATGTACTTCATGAAACCTGATTTCATTTTGTTACCATAGTATCATTTCACAGAAGTTGCTGAAAGTTCCAGCATTTATAATTTTCCCAATATGTGATCATCTATGAATATTTTGTGTTTATTTTTGTATTTAAGTCCCTTCATTGTTATGCAATGGGCACTTGGCTTATCTGACTTTCCACAACAGTGAGGAGCTGATTTTGACCAGTTATACTTCATGTGAAGAGGTAGAATACCACCACAGTTACTTGAAAAACACAGAAGACAGTTAATGATACCAGAGAAAACACACAGGTAGCCAAAGAAGGAAAGTAGTCTGGACTGAACATGACTGCTGGATCGGTGCCACGGAAGGATGACAGACCCTTACCTACCTGTATTCTGTGGAGTGGCCCGTATTACTGATTGTGCCACACTACAGATGCAAGCCAGTTCAAGGTATGCTGAGCCCAGTTGTTGAAACTAACGTGTGAGGGTGATTCTGGCCAAGATAAACAAGAGTTTTAGAAGACTCAATAAGGAAAAGTTTATTATCACAAAATACTGAAGAAGACATTAGATCATTGGTGCAAATTCAGAACTTGATACAGATTTTCAGCGTCTCACAGTCAAGGACCTGAGAGACAGAAGGAGAGGAGAGGAGGAATTGTGAACTTGTCTTCTCAACATTGTTTCCTCCTGCACGGCATGTTTGCGATCTTCATGGTATAGGTCAGCAGCAGCCACCAGACTGCTGGCTACTGCCACCGCTGCTGCCACAGCAGCCACTGCTGCCACTGCTGCTACCACAGCAGCCACTGCTGCCACCGCTGCTACAGCATCCAGAGCTGTGATGATGGCGACGGAGAGATCTGCGGGGCCTGTGGTGACTCAGACAGCAGCCACCACCGCCAGAGCTGCAGCAGCCCCCGGAACTGGAGCCACAGCAGCCCCCAGAACCCAGACTGCAGCAGGAAGAGACAGGAGGACACTTAGGAGGACACTTAGGAGGACACTTAGGGGGACACTTTGGTGTCTGGCACTTGGGAGGGCACTTGGGGGCACACTTGGGAGGAAGCTGGCACTGCTGCTGGCTCTGCTGGCAGGACATCTCGGCCTGTGGGTGTTCAGGAGCTGTGGGAGAATCACACACATGTCAGAACCAGACACTGTGGCCACCTGACCTATTTGACTTCCCCCAGAAATTTTACCTCTAAGCACCCAAAGCAACCATTCAGAGTCCTTTTATTTGTAACATGCTCACACTGTCACAGTGGGTCATCTTGAATTCAGAACCTCAGAAACCCATGCAAGTGAGATTCTAATTATCACCTAGCATCCAGAAGCACTGAGTGAGTGTTTAGTGACATTGGAAAATGTCTGCAGTTCTCACACATATACCAGTATCTGGATTACTTCAGGGAGAAGTAGTTGTGAAAGGAAAGGGCAATCATTACTCGAAGGTGATTTTAGTTTAAGGTTGATATTTCAAACCACCTTCTATGTCACTGAAGGAGTAAGCTCAGACCTTGAGTGGAAAATACCTAAAGTGTGTCCGAGCTGCCTTGGGATCACTATCCCCTGTTACGAGGCAGAGCTAAGACGTATCCAAATCAACAGCTTCTCAGGCTAAGGGTGAGAAGATCAATGTCATCCTGGTGGTGTCCTACTTATCAGAGAAGTGTGGGAACAGATTGCAGAACCTGGGTTCTCTTTCTTTCCCAAGTAGAAGTGGGACCCTGTTGCCCGATTTTGACTCAGATTCTTCTTTGGGAGTTAGGGGAAGCATTTTCTTCACAGGCTGTCTCCCGGCTGAGCCTGTTCAGATGCACAGTTCTCTGTGCTCAGCATCCCATTCTGAGGGTTCCTATACACCGAGGTACTTTGTTCTCTCTAGAGCCAGAAGATCCCAAGCATTTCAATGTCTCTTAAGACCAAGCCTGTGGTGTGCGTGCGTGCGTGTGTATGTGTGTGTGTGCATGTGTGTGTGTGTGTGTGTGTGTGTGTATGTGTGTGTGTTGTCTTTGTCCCACCTCTTACTGTTCACCATGTTTTATAATCTATCAACATGGCCTCTGGGCCGAAGGACCCTCTCCTGGTCCCCTGTGAAACTCTAGTCTGGCAACCCCTCTGGAAAAGTCTCTGCCTCTAGCTTCCCATGGTCACTTACCAAGATGACAGGTGGCTCACGATATGTGAGTATCTCAGGAGGTGAGTGGATGGAAGTGCCCTGTTCCTCAGTCCTTTTATTCTGATCCTGGGCTCTGCTTCAGTCTGCCAGACAATGGACCCGGGAGTCCCTGCCTCCTGACAGCCTCATGGTCAGGTGACTGATGATGATCAAACATTTCCCACTACCTTCCTCCATGGGGCCAGTCATGCTGTATCTGTCTTAGAACATGGCTTAGGCATGAAGGGAGGAAGTGGATTCCTGGATCCTTACACCTGGCTCACCTGCCGAGTGTTTGACTTAGGAACCAGTCTTTTCTCCATCTTCTTTCTTTTCTGTCCCTTCTTAATGTGATATGTGCTGCACGGAGCCCATATCAAGGCAGCCAAACTTTCAAGATTCTTCAGCATCTGCTTCCATGTTTGCACTTCCAAGTGTGCCTGTGTAAGCCCAGCCTAAACGTCTACACCAGGAAAGTCCTGCATTCCAGATCCAGACAGCACCAAGATGTTCCAAGGTGTGGCTCAGGATTCTGTTTAAGCTGTGTCATCTCCCATTTTAACTGTGACAGTGCAATATTAAAGAAAATATAGATGGTTACGAAAAGAAATGAAACATCAAATGATCGTGTAGACTGTTCACCAAAAACACACGTAGAAACTGTCAAGCACAGGGTGAGGGTACTGCTGTTTAATCACAGCCGTTGAGAGTGCTCATCTGTGAGGAACGCACACTGCTCTTATGGAGGACCTGAGTTTGCTTCCTAGTACCTGTGTTGGGCATCTCACAACCACTTCTAACTCCAGCTTCAGCACATCTAACACCCAGTTCTTACCTTCAAACATACATGCAGTATTGTATGTCTAACCCCACCGATAGACACACATGCAAAGATACACACACACACAATTGAAAAAAATATAATTTTAAAAATTAGCAACTTAAAGAAGATAAAGGGGTTCAATAAATAATACATATGAAAATGTCCTAAGAAACCCAATATTTGGCAAAATTCATATGCATTAATCAGAATACAGCAGCGATTGTGTTCAGAGAAATAACACCATTATTTTATCTGCTTCTTTACACTTGTCTCAGTAAATATCTTCATTTTATATATTTCTTAAATTTACATGTAATCATCTTTTAGGAATATACTACCTTGTTTTTACACTTTTAGATACTCTGTAGAAGCCAGCACAACTTTTTCATGAAAACTGAGGCTGTTATTGGTGAGGTCAGATGACACATTACTAAGAAGAAAATAAGGGGAAGATTCATGTGCGATTGAGGGAATCATGTTGCTCACCTACAAGAAATAGAGGAATAGAATCAGTCTTCTCCCACATGTGACATAAAGGACTGGTGGGCTGTATCCCTGACTGAAGCAAGGCAGGTTGTTTTAAAAAGAATGACGCATTAGAAGTTCACAAGAATGTTTTCTGTGGTCATTAGGCCTCTGTTCTCTCTGCATGCCTGATTTATATTTATATTCTACATCATCATAGACTATATATGAACATATATTTTGAACAATTTTATTTTGAAGATTTAGTATAAATAGTTGTGATTCATTATGGAAGGATATGGTTATAGAGAGTCATGATGTAAGATTGCCCTAAACCTAAAAATTATAAGCTAGAAGAGGGAAAGAAACATATAAACAAAATATGCAAAATATCTCTTCTCCTTAAATGCTGGTGGACTCTAGAATTTTCAGACCTTGGGAATAATATGAGCTTGGGACACAGGAGCATAGTGAGCACCAAGAGAATATGGTAAAGAAACATGGGTGCTTATAAATGTCTAGAAGAGTCTTCCTATAGAGAGATGTATACCTTCCTATATTCTGTCATTTATTATCATCAGTCTCTGTCACCAAGCATTTTAAAAAATACACCTAATATTTACACATACCCAAAGTTCTAACTCTAATTTGTCCCCTGAAGCCCCTTGATCTTTCATTGACTGTGTTGCAGCACCAGACCCATAGAAGACCCTTATTCTCCCAACAGTAACTGCCACAAAGCCAGTCGAAGAGACTTGTTCAGGACTGTACACCACTAAAAAGATGTAAGAACTCTTACATCCTAACATCCTACCCACTTTACTGCTACTTTATCTTAACATTTCCCATCTATCCTCAAATTTATTATTAGATGAGTGTTGGTCATGATTTTCTCTAAATTGTATGTTACAAACTTTAGTTGCTATGATAATGAAGCTTAGGTCTGTATTTTTAATTTTCTTTTAGTGACTTTGAATGTAGTTATAGTGAATTCCTTAACTATCTTTCTTAGGGCTTGTGTGTCTCTTATCTGCAGTAGCTGAACTCATCTGTCCAGTAGCTACTTGATGACGTCTAATCCTCTCACTGGCATTATCATTGATGTGAAAGCTTAGAAAAAGATCCATCTAACTAAGGACCTAAGGACCCTAATGGAACCTGATCTCTGAGGTGAGTGAGGGATGTGTGTCACATGACTATGGGAAATCTTTCACTGTCTCACTGGCTTGATTTTATTCTCTTCCTCAGTCATTTCAAAGGACGTAGCAACTGGGAGAGGTCAGAACATGATTCCTTACTCCCATAATGGTAGCGCCACATGACTCACATTAGTGTCCGAGGGTGATGTGGCTGATATGCCAGCTAGTACACACTTCAGCTTCTGTGCAGGACAACACCCAAGTCCTCAGCTGACCTCCTGAACACATGTGTGTGTGAGGATCATGTTATCTGGAAGAAGACTAGAATCAAGCCTTCAGTGTGAGCTCTGGAGGCTTAAAACTTGAGAAAATAAGAATATTTTGCACAAAATCTGTTGACATTTTGAGGGTTTCAGTTGTCAGATACTTCTCCTTTATAAGGCTGTTTCCGTATCCATGAATAAAAGAGAACACTGAAAACTCTAATCAGAAATAGTTCAATAAAAATGTTCTTTACTCTCCATACCAGAAGCTAAATCAAGAAATTCAATGTTGTTTTGAGATGTTTGTTCTTTTCTACCCATTTAACAATAACAAATCATACATGAATGGTCTGAAAGTGTAAAAGCTATAGATCATTTAGTTTTAATGAACATCTTTCTAAATAATACTATTTGGTTGTTGCTAGTGGTATAATTTTAATATAATGATGACATGTAATAAAACTTTTCAAAACTCATTATTTCAAGCTGATTTATTAAGAGGTCTTCAAAAATGATAAAATATATTGCACAAATGATAATGCTTATCTCACCTGTCTCTCTCTCTCCACATGTGTATATGTGCTTGTGGGTATGCATGCATGTGTTTATGTGTAATCTAGGTGCCAACTTTGAGTGGTTCAGTTCAGTATTCTGCTTTCATCAATAGATCGGTCATAAAAACTAAGCAATGAACCTACAAAGTAAAACTTCACCCTAGGTTGAGTTGATTCGTACACATGGACAGAACATCACAGTCACTAGGTGCACAGTGTACTTTATGCTATGTAGCCATGAGAACTGTCTTAAAAATAGATCAAACAACTACAAAAGGCTTAAAATAATTTTCCCTTATCAGACTAAAAATCAATACTAATGAAAAAGTAAGAAATCATGTAAAACAATTAAAATTGAACAATAAACTCTTGAATGGTTAGAGTGTCATAACATAAATCTGTAAAGGAATTTTTTTTAAATTCCTAAAACCTAAATCAAAATAAGTGTGAATACAACAAAGAAAATGTTTCCTCTCAGCTTCCATTTCAATTGAAAATATTCTTTTTCGCAGAATATATTCATAACAGATTCCCTCCTTCTTCATATACTCCAGGATACTCCCTGCCTCTTCACCCTTCCAATTCTGTAACTTTTTTCTCTGTCTTTTCAGAAAGGAAAAAGGTAAATGAAAAACAGAAAATGCAGAATGAAGAAAATAAATGAATAGATAAAAACAAAAAGGAAAGCACTAGAAAT